GAAAGGATTGATTTCCAAATATTTAATTGTTCGAAATATGACAAGATATAAGTGAAGCGTTTGGACCAAACTTTCAATTGGCATGTGTAGTCTCAAACCCAATTGCTCTATTGAGCGCCAATGATTTTCATCAAGATTATATGCAGAATTATTATCATTTTCGATGATTTTAAAGCCTCACAATTTACAACACTTATCATGCCCTACACAATCCTTTCCCAATAACTTGCAGTCAGTTATTTTCTTGAACAAATTAGTCACGAGAGGAGAACCAAACTTAGTTTTAAATAAATATTTCCTTTTTTCTTGATATTTCATTTTCCGTCGCCATGTCTTACCTCAATCAAAGATTTCGACGATATTTTGGTGGTAGTTGCCAAAAGAGCCCGGCAGGGGTCAGAAATCGACACATTAGGAAAGAAGCTTGGATTTACACCGGAAGATATTCATGGCTACATAGAAACTAATAACAAAACACAGAATGTAGCATATGATGGAACTCTTCGAATGCTCCGGGATTGGCGAAAAAGTCAAAGGAAATCTACCGAGCAAGGAGCTTTGAAGAATGCTTTGGAGCAATCTGGACAAATTCGTCTTGCTGATGATCTCTTTCCATCCAGTCAGTAAATACATGTTTCATGGCAATAGTCAGTCGTGGTCGTAGGAGGAGGGATGGTGGGGGGGGGGGGGAGTATTCTCTGTTCTTCGATGCAATGGCATTTAATAGGTTTCTACCATAATAAACGTTTATGACATGAATTAATGATAGGTTTATTTTTTCTTTAAGTCCAACTGTGTTGTGTTTTCCTATTTTTCTTGTAACACTTTTGTTTTACGAGTAGAGTTTTTTTTTTAAAGATGAAATACACATCATGTATATATTTGTCTGTTTTGATCCGGAAGGGATGTTATATTTTACACAGTTTAGTACGGATACATGTCGCTTTCATTATTATTGTTATTGTTTTGTTCCTAATAACGATAATAATTATTATTACTATCAACATTCTTGCTTTAATCATTATTGTCAGGGGTGTCGATTTGTATCCGTGGTTGGGGGGGATGATAGGTGCCAAAATATTTTCGGCAACGGATCAAAGCAACCAAGAGGTAGAAGCGTGTGGCAGGTTGTACCCCTCCCTTCCAATTTATTAACTTTTTCAAGTCACCTTCAATAAAAGATAACATTTCAGAGATTATGGGACCCATGTGGGGCCCACATGGGCTTGCTACCTGGGTTATTATCCTCTCAAGCGCGTAACCAGGATTTTATTTTAGGGGGGGGGGGCGGTAGTGAGCTCTGACGTTTCATAAAATTATTAGGGGAAAAGATGACGATTCGTTGTACCGTTCTCGACTCTTAATCATTGTTTGAATCAAGTTCCCCTTCCTCCGCGCGTAGCGCGGAAGTTCTGACGTTCCATTTAATTATTAAAGAAAGAAGACGATTCGTTGTACCATTCTCGACTCTTAATCCCTGTCTGAATTCAGTTTTCCCCACCCCTCCCGCGCGAAGCGCGGCAGCTTTGACGTTTCATTAAATTATTAAAGAAAGAAGACGATTCGTTGTACCATTCTCGACTCTTAATCCTTGTTTGAATCAAGTTCCCCTTCCTCCGCGCGTAGCGCGGAAGCTCTGACGTTTCATTAAATTATTAAAGAAAGAAGACGAGTCGTTGTACCATTCTCGACTCTTAATCCCTGTCTGAATTCAGTTTTCCCCACCCCTCCCGCGCGAAGCGCGGCAGCTTTGACGTTTCATTAAATTATTAAAGAAAGAAGACGATTCGTTGTACCATTCTCGACTCTTAATCCTTGTTTGAATCAAGTTCCCCTTCCTCCGCGCGTAGCGCGGAAGCTCTGACGTTTCATTAAATTATTAAAGAAAGAAGACGAGTCGTTGTACCATTCTCGACTCTTAATCCCTGTCTGAATTCAGTTTTCCCCACCCCTCCCGCGCGAAGCGCGGCAGCTTTGACGTTTCATTAAATTATTAAAGAAAGAAGACGATTCGTTGTACCATTCTCGACTCTTAATCCTTGTTTGAATCAAGTTCCCCTTCCTCCGCGCGTAGCGCGGAAGCTCTGACGTTTCATTAAATTATTAAAGAAAGAAGACGATTCGTTGTACCATTCTCGACTCTTAATCAAAGTCTTAATTCAGTTCTCCCCCCCCCCCTTCCGCGCGAAGCGCGGAAGCTTTGACGTTTCATTAAATTATTAAAGAAAGAAGACGATTCGTTGTACCGTTCTCGACTATTAATCCTAGTTTGAATTAAGTTCCCCTTCCTCCGCGCGTAGCGCGGAAGCTCTGGCGTTTCATTAAATTAATAAAGAAAGAAGTCGATTGGTTGTACCATTCTCGACTCTTAATCCTTGTCTTAATTCAGTTTCCCCCTCCCGCGCGAAGCGCGGTAGCTTTGACGTTTCATTAAATTATTAGAGAAACAAGACGATTCGTTGTACCGTTCTCGACTCTTTATCCACCGCCCCCGCCCCCTAGCTACGCGCCTGTATCCTCTCTATCTTTCATTTTCTCTCTCTCCCACTCTCTACTTCTTTTTGGCACATTTGTGCTTCGCGCTTAACATTTAGCTCGTTGCTTTTTAACGCTACGGCTTTGCATTTGGCGCAATGCATTTCTATGATGCTGTTGATTGAATGAATGGAATAAATCCATCAATTCCTGATGAAACCGTATGAGCGAGAATTCAATTAATTCCTGTCTCATATACGGTTGTCTCATTTACTTCGTTTTCTATTTATATATGTTTGTATTATGAAAATGAGATAGCAAAATATGTATATTGATTGTGATCTTGCGAGTAATAACCACTAACTACTCTCATCGGGCTCTCATCATTATTTTTTCTCTTCATTTTTTTTTTTTGATGGTGATTTATTGGGGGGAATGATTGTACAGGCCATCCCCCCACCTGAAATATTGGGGGGGGGGGGATATAATATAATGCCGAAAAGAAGTTTATTTTTATTTCATCCTTTTATACTCATTTTTCTTTTTTATATTTCATTTTATCCTTATTTGTATTATCTTATTCACTACATGTACCCAGGATTTATTGCTACGCTACATTCCAGACTTCTACCGAAACTCTAAGTTTTTTTGCTGAAATATTGATTCATCAATTTGTTCCTTGCAAATACAAACACATGTAAGCTTGTATTAAGATCATAGCGAATCTCTTTAACAGTAGTAATATAATTTGGTAAATCTTTTACAGACTTTTTATTATTTCACTATAAAAACATCATAGCAAGGAAACGCCCAGACTTTGAATAAAATCAAATCCTATGAACATGCGTCCTGGAGTAGAAGTCAATCGTCGCAATTTGAAACATAGTATTAAAGCTCAGTTGAGTATTTATTACGTTTAATGATATCAATTTTGTTGCTATTATTGATATAATTTGTTAACTTTCCCAGGAATTTACATGTTACGTTGAATTATTCAGTAATGCTGGTAATCTTTGATCTTCATGGTAATTTAAGTAAGGTTAATTGCATTAGTAATATTCATATTTCTTGAAATAATCTTTATTTGTGTACAGCGCATTGAAAATGCTATATAAAATGTTCGTGTTATTATTATTTGTTTTATTATATACTACCTGGATTATTGAGAACATTTATAATCTTAATACTCATAATCTAAGGGCACAATTATGACACGATCTTATAATGTCTGATTAATATCATACTGTAAATTTATGTGTAACTTGATAGTTTCTTTGAAATTAGTTATCCAAATCATTGTCATTGACAGTGCAAGTGCACTTTAGACATGTGAATCAGTTTGTTCTTTTGAATAGCAATCTCTGTCTATAATCCGAACTTCATTCACGCGCATTCTTTCTTCTTCTTCTTTTTTTTTTTTTCTTTTTTTTTTTTTTTTGGGGGGGGGTTCTTTTCTTCAGAAGCAGATTGGGAGGGGGGTGGCTTCTTCTATGCCAAAGAGCAAACGTAACACACAGTGTGGCCCACTTGTTAGTAGTGGGTGTCATTTTGATTTGTTACGTGCAAAACCCTTGGGCTAAGAGCCAAGTGAATAAACCACTTTAAAGACATACTCTGAGAGGATCCGATGAAAACGCGATCTGAAAGGTTTTTTAAAGAAATAAACTTAAGGGTAATTTCTATACCATTTTAGTTTTACTTCTCAAAGTCATAGGTGATAGAGCTTACTGCAATACCTTTAGATTTGTTAAGATATGTTTATGATCAATTTATATAAAGCACCAATAAATATATGTTAAAGTGATTGCGCAAAGATCATTATATACCCGCAAAAAATCATAACATAACGCAAATTAGAAATGTGTCATATGCTTAAAATATTTATACAAAATCCACTTACTCCGATTTTCTCAATGGATTTTTTTCAGTGAAACCTCTATATAAAGACCGCTCAAGGGAGGGGGGGGGGGGGTGGCAGGAAAAGCGGCCTGTATACCCGGGTGGTCTTTATATACGTTCCTTTTCAATACAAATGATTATACGGTCTTGATAGACAGGTGGTTTCGGTAAAGGTGTTTGCTAAAGCAGGTTAAAGTGTATATGATAATTTGTATAAATATAAATGATCAAACGGGTTCATAGGACTTTGATACATGGTTATATTCACGGTGTATTTCATAAATGCAAATAATATATACAAATAGCTTTCGGACCTTGTATAGTAATCATAAACAAAGTCTATTTGCAGTAGGAATATTAAGATAACAAGTAATGAAGATTTCCCAAAATATTTGTTTAGCAGGTCTGTCTTCCATAGTGACAATCCGTTTATATTCATTTTATTTATTTATTTTATTTTATTGACTTTTATTGCACCTTGGGAGTAGTAGCTGTTCGGGGGGGGGGGGGGTGGGCGCTTTGGGGCTCAAGCACCTCTCAATATTCTGTAAAACCATGATAAGAAGGCAAAACCAGTCGACAAGAAATGGTGCCATTTTATTATCAACAAACCTGGTATTATTGTAAATGATACAAGCGGCCCTCAAGAAAGCATTAATGGATGCTGGATTAGTTCGTCTTGCTGACGAATTTGTCCCCATCAGTGGCATGGGTAAATTTGCTTAATGTATTATTTAAGTTATTCCCTTTGGCTCAATGTTTTCTCGTTTTATCCTCAGGTTATTGTTTCGAAAGAGACAAGAACAGCAAGAACAACGATTACAAAAATAGTTTATGGTTCATTGACAGAATGCTGTAATATTATTCACGGTTTTATTATTCCAAAACAATGTCAAAGTTTGATCTCAAAGTTGGAAACGGATGATTTGCTCTTCGCTGAGTGAACATTTATTGTTTCGTATATTACTTTGGTACTTGCTGTTTGTTTGATCATGTTTTGTATGTATCTTGTATTATACTCTTTAAATTATAATTGTAATTAACAGGGCCTTGTTGTCAAACACTGTCGAAATCAATCATGGAGCCACCCTAGCAAATTAAGACTTAATTAAATCAAATAAATCAACAACATCAGGAACAACAACAACATTTAGAACAGTAGATTTATATTAGAGCAATTAAACTCGGTATATAAATCATATGGGTAAATGAAGATAATTTTCCTTTTATTATTCATAGTGATTATTCGTTATTATGTGAACACCTTGACCATGCCCAGTTTACAGGCTCGATTTATGTTAATATGCAATGGCATACATTTTCTCATCTAACAGGTGACAACTCATCAATGATGCCATCGTCTACCGTGACACAGGGAACACACTTTAACAGGTATAGTATTTTCATATACTGGAAAATAGTCAACTTTCCATCTCAGGCCTTCTTCATTTTAGAGGATTTCTACTTAATGCATTCAAAATAACATTAATCACCCAACATATTAAATAGGTGCTACTACATAATAACTTTAAACATATTAAATACAATGTATATTTTTTATCTTTATCATTTTAATGATAAGCATTGATAAATATCAAATGTTATTTGAAAAATCCAAGTTAATAAACAATGAGGCATATATTTAATTTGGCCTGCAATTATGAAAAAGATATTTCGGTTTATTGATTTGCTGAACTGATGGTGATGATGATATACACTGATACTAATAATAAAGATAATAACATTAATCGTAATTAAGCTTTATTAAGGCGCCAAATCCACTTGAAAAAATGGTAAACTTTGTACTCATTGATAAAATCACAAAAGCACTATTTACATAACTTAAACATGAGTAGGATAAAACATGTAAAAGAAAGAGAATAAATAATTTCAGTATCTATACAGTTGTTGTAATATAGCCCCTACAGCTATGAAGTATAAGTAAAAAGAAACATTAATAACAGAGGGGTTTGAAATCTAGATGCATACATATACAGAAATCAAGTTCTCCTGTAGACATACAACATGTTCCTGTTGCTGCTGAACTTAATTGCCTTTCTTTTCAATATTGCAGGTCTGGCGAAAGAAGAGTTAGTGATGGAGAAATCATAAAACTGTCAAAACTCGTTTCTGGTGACAACTACACCGTTTTATGCGTGGAACTGGGATATGATATTGCCTTCTCTAACAACATTGTAACCAAATGTCAATTAAATTATTCTGCTGCGTTTGAGGATATATTGAAAAAATGGAGTACAAAGACAGGTGGTTTTATTCATGATCTTGATAAAGCTCTCGTGAAAGCAGAACTCGGAGGACTAAGAGATCAGTATAAGATGTAGATTAACAGCCTCAACTCAGTTCGACAACATTTTGTTTGATTTACATAATGAATAATTATATTAATAATTATATCGAATGGTTCGTGACAATTACAGACCCATCTGATTACTCATAGTGTCCTTATTAACTTCACCATCGACAATATCTCCACTATCCTTATTTTATGATGACATTACTCATTTCCACATTACTAAAACAAGAAAATTAAACCTTTCCTTTCATTTTTGTAAAGCTTGTGTTTCCTTCTGTTCATAATCGATAATGTTTGAATGTGATCCTAACCTTTTTACAGTCTTTGCAAAACCTATAACAAATGACATTTTTTTAAAAACAATGTTGATTGGTGAAATGTGTACGGATTAATATAACCAATGTATCATTTGAAAGCGTATTACATCTATTTTATGAAAACAAGGAATTTCAAAATGCAGTTTACTTTTGTTCACAATAACTTATCGTTTAGAGGCTTTGACCTAATATGAGAAGCCCTGTAATGCAACAAACAGCAAGTGCTGCAAATGTGATAGGTTTTCCATCAATACCATAATAGAAGTATATTTGATTGTTTTGAGCATCGCTGAAGTATTAAAACCCAATCTGATATAGTGTACCTGGAAGCTTTACAAAAACACATAGCAAGCAATACGGTATAAAAATTAAATTGTATAATTGTAGTTGTGTAACTATTTAGTTACCTTTGCTGTAGGAAAAACTTACATTGTCTTATATATTAATGTTAAGGAGAAGGTTGGGTTCTGGGGAAAGGGGATTTTTTTTTTACAACGTTTTCTGATCGATTCCACACCGTTTATTTCTCAATGCAATCGCATGACCAGAACTCGACTTCATCTTTAACTCTTGATATAATAGTATAAACATGTTTATCGCCGAATATTTTGTATCGTTTTTTTAGTTTATGTAGTGGTGCATAAGCAAATTTGAATTTCATCGTTCTCAAACTGCACCTTTGGTTGACGTACATGTAATCGTTGTAACTCGAGTAATGTTTGTAATGTTAGGACTAAGAGTACTACTATAAAGTGTGTTTTGCATGCATCTCGATGATATTAGAAGCTTTATAATATGTCGTTAAAACAACACAAAACATTTCACTTATATATATATCTTTCAGAGCGATAAATCTGCTAACCTACAATTTATTTTTGGTAATGTTGTTACAAATTTATTTTCATAAACACATGCATACAATCTTGAACATTTTCATTCCATATGTGTGTATAATGATGATTCGGTTTGTGCACCTGATGCTGTTTAATGAGAACAAAACATTTGAAAAAGCTGTTTGGAAATTTTACCTTTTTTGTTCTTCCTCTTTAATATCAGCATATTGAGGCATGTGCGAGAGAATGTGTGTTTGTGTGAGGAAGAGGGAGATAATTCAGAAGAGAGACTGTTAAAAGATTTCACTCCGTACAGCTTTTCATTTGATTTGATAGGATATGGTTAATATGGGACTCGAACCGTGAACCACGTTGATTCAAATGATTCAAATGATTTTATTTCTCATGCAAAAAGTAATACAAGAATATAACAAAAATATGCAATGAAACGATAAATATATAGAAAATAGCACGAGAAAAAAGAACTATCTTGAAGTAGAGCTTGTTGAAGTGTTAGTTCATCAGATGCTGTTTTACAATAAAACATAAACAAAGTATGCTTAGAAATCAATAAATAGACACATATGTAGCTATTCACGTTATTCACAGTCCAGCGACGTATCCAATAGACCCCGACACTTCTACTTCCTTAGGCCAATGAAACTCGATTGCGAATTTCCCGTCCCATTTTTTCACCTCAAAATGAGGCAACTGTTTCATTATTCATTATTTGCAAGATTCCTTAATGTTAACCTTTTACGAACACTTAATTCACTTTTGTTGGTTTAACTTGTGTATTTCCAGTTTGTTAACTAAGCATGTCTGAACATCTCATACATACACATTGTTAGTACATCTTGGTTATTTTCATTAATACAAACATCAAATATTTTTAAAAATAAACCACACATATAAATGCTATAAATTAAAATAGAACAGTACTTTAAAAGTACTATGTCCCATTCGCAGCCAACATAACATTCTGTAGAACTTTGCAGGAGTTATGAATCCATCAATTTAAACGTTAGCAGTGTCCTATTATTCAAATTATACAAGAAAACCCGTCAGACACTATATATTGAGTAACTGACTGACTTTTTTTGTTGGTAATAGCATACACGAACAAAGCTGTAAAGTTATGTACATGAGCAGTTGTCTTCATGAATAACCCACTTGTTGTAATACTTAACGTGGCGATAAAAAAACATGTTTTATGGAATAAAAAAAAAAAAAAAAATCCATTAAAAAAAAAAAAAAAAAATTGGCAATTCCCAACCCAATGGTAATTGAGAAGACGCACCATGAAAAAAAGATTTAACAAAAAATGAAAATTAAAAAAACAAAAACAAACAAACAAACAATAATTAATTATTTTTTCAGATTTTCGATCGCAAAAGCGGGCGGGCGACGGGAAACTCAGCATTGAGATACAAGGGCCTTAGCAAATGGCATGATCAAATTATTGGAAAAGTTCAGGGCATAAACAGTATTCTTAAAAAAGTTATGATAATTAAATTTCATGTAAATGCATTAAATTTTGAAGTAAATCTTTTAGGGTTATGGCAACATGTTATTGATATGGAAGTTCCAATTCAGTTTATTCTTAATAGTATGCCTCGAGTAATCTCGTAGAATGTAGTATAGTAATAATGACTTTTATGAGTTGTTTTTATACGCTCAAGGGGAAGTTACATCGTGCTATCGCCCCGAGGCGTACCGAGGGGTGATAGCACGACCTCCCCGAATATTAGTCATTATAACTTTTATATACCGCAAAGGGTCATAGAATACATGCGGGACTTATCAATCATGGTAATCAAGTTTGTTTAAGCTATCGAGACCTAGTCTTCATAGGGTCTCTGACTCGAGTTTGTGTGCTAAAATCCATGGAGATTGTACGCATATTATCCCTATGCAGGTGATACTTAAAAATGAGGTGTCGTATGAAAGAGCAGGTTTATCTCCATATTTCCAAAGGGTCGTCATCTCGTCATTACATGCAGATTATAGATCTAGGCCTAAAGTTGAGATCGGCGGTCGTCTCGCACTGTGTGCAAAATGTAGCAACCGAATTAAATGCACAAACACTGTTTAGTAGCCGCGCTGCGCATTCGAAAACGAACATTTAAACACGTAAACCAATGAGCATTCCACAAAGAACAATTTAACACGTAAATCAATGGGTATCGCAGCAACATGTACTATTTCCATTGTAACCGGAATTTTAAAGGGATCTCACTCTTGTACTATCAACCGGTTTAGGCATTTTACGTTTGTTTACGGGAAAGGCTAAAATCAGGACTCCAATTTCGACCAATCAGATGGCCGGATTTGTAAAGTGAGGTATATAATTATGTCTTGAAGCGCGAGTCAAGTCAAATAAGATATCTTCTATCCCGTTTTATAGCTATCTTAAACGCCTTTATTGTTGAAATAAGGGCATTGCCACATGAGTTGAAGAAGAGACAGTTTGAATCCCATGCATGTAGATAAATAAATAGTGAGTTTAGGAACATGATCGCATATATCAATAGAAACCATCTAATTGCAATTTCAATACCCTATTTTAATTCATATAGTTATTTTAAATTCCGCCTATTTTAATAGGTAGTGGAAAAGCTTATTACAATTCTTTAAAACAAACTTATAAAGTCTTTGTGACCTTTTTAAGGCTAGCTTTATATCATGAACATTAATTACTGTATATAAAGCACCATGAATATCGTCTATAGAGATTGAGCAAAGATTATGCATTACTTATTTACCCGCAAAATTATTACTTTTTAATATCGAAAATTAGCAATGCCTTAATTCATACAAAATCATCTAACTCCGAATTTATCATCGAATTTCTAAAGTGAAACCTGTATAAACATCGCTCAAAGGGAGAGAAGACAAGCGGCCTTTATAATCAGGTGGTATTTATATACACTTTTCTTTGATACACGTTTCAAAGAAAACACTTTTCAATACATACAAATAATGAGATCTTTGTAGACAAGTGGTCTTGCTGTACATGCGGTCGATACAGCCTGTGTTTGCTACATCCATTGATTGTATATGATAACTTGTTTAATATATATATATGTACAAACTGGTTCTTAGGACTTTGATACCTAGCTTTATTTCCGTTGTTTAAAAGTAAACTGAAATATAATGCAAGTAATTAATAAACAAAGCGATTGACCTTATATGATTTCGATAATGGAGATTTCTCAGATAATTCTTTTGCAAGCTTGTCCTCACTAGTGACAATCCGTTCGAATTAATTATTTTATTGATATGAATTCAAATGAAATGGTTAATACATGTATAAACCATCCTCGATATTAAAAGTGCACTTCATAAGCTTTAGCCGTTCGTGAGGGGGAGCGCGTTGGAGATCAATCCCGCCCTTAAATAATAGACCCCCTCCCCATTATTTTAATCATACAAACAGACAAATCTTCTTAAACAGCGCCTGCCAGAATTAGGAGGCAGGACCGGGTCACAATACATTTTGCCATTTCATTATCAACAAACAATGAATGCCTACGTGCATATGTTGGTAATTCAATAACGAATGAGACTCTTTAACAATCGAAAATATAATGAACTATATTGAAACCTTTAACCAAAGTTCAGTAAGAGCAGTCCTGATTAAAACATGTGAAGTGTTTGCTAAGACCCTAATTAGAATAATCATTTCAGATCTGTTAAGAAATAGAATTTTCTTTTCGATGACTACATAACTTATATATATTTCGTTTTATGTTCAAGATGTGCTTCCATTCAAAATAATTAATATAGCCATATTCAAGACGTTGCAATCGGATCAGCTTTTAAATGAAACAGCACCCACTCTTCCTGTCATCACAATGTGTCTTGAATTGCCGTATTGGACTACAACCAGATCTTCTACTCCCCTCTATTGTTCACCTCTCATTTACGTCTACAAAAAAGAGGAAAACCAACGTTAGGGGTCAAGTACAGGCTCCTACGCTTATAAGCCTACCGCCATATGTTTTAGCTCATCGATTTCATTATTC